TGCAAAGCCAAAGAAACCATCAAGAGAGACAGGGAGACAGCCTACAGACTGGGAAAAAGCATTTGCCAACTCCAGGTCTGAGAAAGGCTTAACATCTTGGATCTACAAGGAACCCAAATGTGCTGAAAAGAAAAAAACAAACAAACCCATTATAAAATGGGCAGAAGATATGAACAGACACTTCACAAAGGAAGACACATGAAGAAATGTTCAACCTCACTAATCATCAAGGAGATGCAAATCAAAACCACACTGAGATACCACCTAACTCCAGTCAGAATGGCAATTATCAATAACTCAAAAAACAACAGTTACTGGAGAGGGTGTGGCGAAAAGGGAACACTTCTACACTGTTGGTGGGAGTGTAAACTAGTGCAACCTCTGTGGAAAGCAGTATGGCAATTCCTAAAAGCTCTAAATATCGACCTCCCATATGATGCTGCAATCCCCCTACTGGGAATATACCCCGAAGAACTCAAATCACTCTATAAAAAGATACCTGCACACATATGTTTATCTCAGCATTGTTCACAATAGCAAGAACCTGGAAGCAACCATGCTGTCCTTCAAGAGGACTGGATTTTAAAAATGTGGTACATATACACGATAGAATACTACGCAGCCATAAAAAAGAACAAAATCATGAATTTCACAGCAACCTGGATGGAACTAGAGTCTATAATACTGAGTGACCTCTCACAGAAACAAAGATCTGAGTATCACATGTTCTCACTCGTACAGTGGATCTTGATCATCCAACGCACTACCATAAGAAAATGACTGACAGTGATGGGAAACTATTGGGGGGAAGGAGGATGGGACTAATGGTAGTAAACATCTCTCTGGGGATGGGGAGACACAGGTTATCAACAAGGCGTCCTGAATGAAGCATATTTGTATACCTAACCCTTAACTGTACCCCACAATATCATAATAAAAAACATTGATTTAATAAAAAATAAAATAAAAACCAACCAACCAAACAAAACACGTAAAAAACTAGACAAGCATGATGGTACATGACAGTAGTCCAACCCACTTGGGAGGCTAAGGAGGGAGAATCACTTGTGTCCAGGAGTTCAAGGCTGCAGTGACCCATGACTGTGTCACTGCATTTCAGCCTCAGCAACAAAATGAGACCCCCAACCCCAAAAAAAAGGTTGACCTTATTCATCAGAAGACAAATGAAAACTACCCTTAAATTGATACCACTGCCCCAACAATTAGTTCCTTAAGTTTGACAACACATTGTTTAGAATAGCAAGTTACTGAAAAAAAATCCAGTCTTCATCAACAGAATACTTGTTGAAAAGACCATAATTCATTGAAACACCACAGTACTATGTAGCCATCAAAAAAGAATGACGAGGCCAGGCTCGGTGGCTCAAGTCTGTAAACCATGTACTTTGGAAAGTCGAGGCGAGAGAACTGTCTGAGCCCAGGGGTTCAAGACCAGCCTGGGCAACCTGGTGAGAACTTATGTCTATAATATATCAAAAAAATTAGCTAGGCGTGGTAGCACGCACATGTAGTTCTGGCTACTTAGAAGTCTATGGCAGAAGAATCACCTGAGCCCAGTAGGTCAACACACTGGAGTGGCTGTGAGCATGCCACTGCACACCAGCCTGGGTGACAGAGTAAGACTCTGACTCAAAAAAAAAAAAAAAAAAGAATGAAGAAATCTCTATATACTGATGTGGAATGACCTCTAGGATATATTAAGATTTAAAAACAAGGCACAGCTGGGCGTGGTGGCTCAGGTCTCTAATCTCAGCACTTTGGGAAGTGAGAAAATAGCCTGAGCCCAGGATTTTGAGACCAGTCTGGGCAACTTGGAGACCTCATCTCTACAATAAAAAAAGTTATCTGGAGTTCCAGTTACTTGGAAGGCTGAAGTAGAAGGATAGCCTGAGCTCAGCAGGTCAAGGCTACAGTGGCTGTAGGCGTGCCACTGCTCTAGATTGGGCGATAGTGAGACTTTGATTCAAAGAAAGAAAAAAAAAGCAAGGTACAGAACAGTATATGCACAGTATGCTAATTTGTATCTTTGTTGTAGTTGTTGGAGTTTCACTCTGTTGCCCAGGCTGGAGTGGAGTAGCAAACTCATGGCCACCCTAGTGTCGTCCTGCTGGACTCAGACCATCCTTCCACCTCAACCTTCCAAGTAGCCAGAACCACAAGTGCACGCTACCATGCCTGGCTAATTTTTGATTTATTGTAAAGACAATGTCTCGCAAAGCTGTCCAGGATGGTCTCAAACCCAGGGGTTAAGGCAATCCACTTGCCTTGGCCTCCCAAAGTGCTGGGATTGATTACAAGCTGAATCACCAAGCCTAGTCAATTTGTATTTCAAAAGATAAAATATACAGGAGAATTCTATTATCTTCACAGAAAGAAAACTAGGATGATAAACCAGAAACCAATAATAATAATAACAACCTATGGGGTCAATGAGAGTAAGGGGATACAAATAAAAGCAAGAATTCTGAGCAAACATGTATTTTACACATTCAAAACATAAATGAAAAAGGAAAGAGAACAAAACCCCTACATTGAAAAAAAAATAAAAACAAATGAACCTAACTATATAACAAATGGTAACAGAACCAGAATGAAAAAATTATTCCAAGTAACTTTTAAATAGTACCCATTTTATAATCTTAGTGGAACATATTCAAAGGACAATAAGAAGTTCCATAAAAATCTTAAACTTCATTCAATAGTTTTATGTATTACAATACTGATATTTTAAACCTTTTATAAAGATTAAGCAAACATATTAAATATATTACTGTTAGTAAGATATTCATATATATACAAACATACGAATGTTAAAAAAAATAAGAAAGCCCTGTAATTATTACTGAAAATGTGAATGAACTCAACTGATTTGGGAAAGGAACATCAATGGATACTATAAATATTAATTAAGAAGCTGTTCCAGCCTAAGCAACATAGCAAGATCTTGTCTCTACAAAAAAATAAAAAATAAAAAATTAGCTGGGCATGATGGCATGTCTATAGTCTCAGCTACTTAAGAGGCTGAGGCAGAAGGATCACCTGATCCCAGAACATTGAGGCTGCAGTGAGCTGTGATAGTGCCACTGCACTTCCAGGATGGGCGACAGAGCAAGGCCCCAGTATACACATACACACACAGACACAGACACACACACACACACACACATACACACACACACACACACACACACACACACACACACACACAGAGCAATGCCCCAACACATACATATACACACAAAATATTATATATATATATATTTTTAGTGAGAAAGAATGATACAAGTAATTTCTATTTACGATCTCTTGGTCTAGAAACTTTTAAGGATTATTTCTCTCACTCCCTAAAATTTCAAAGTGAGGTTTGGAAATTGGTTTAATTTCTAAAGCCTTCTACCTTTGGGGTTGATCCTCCATATAAATAATCAATGCAGTTCTGATTTCAAGACTTAGTTTTTTGTTAATCCTGTGTCTCACAGAGGTTTCACAGTCCCTCTCAATAATAATAGCAAAAATGTAGGGAGAACATACTTTGTCTGGGAACTATTTCAGGCATTTTGCACAGCTTGTCATTAAATGTCACAATAACTTTATTAGGAAGATTCTACTATGCTGCCAATTTACAGTTCAGTAAACCAAGACTCAGAGTTGAAGGAACTTGTTAAAGGCAAGAAGCTAGTGGTCCATATACTTTGATTCCAAATCTAAATTCTAGATGAAGACCCTATGCTAATCCTCTGTTTCTGCCATAATGAATAACTGAGATACTAGTGTTTGATACTCAAGTTTACCTTTTGTCTCTTAGGACAACACTAGAAAGAAATCTCTCTTTCTGCTATTTATTTTCTATATACAAATATACCCAATAGGGTTAAGTTGGCTACACTGGAATCAAAATTTTTATTGCTATAAAAACAAAAAATGAACTATGGAAAAGTATATTCTAGGAAGTCCACATACAACACTATAATTTTATATAATGGACAATCAATGTAAATAAAATCTAATATTTATTTCAAGCACCTACTATGTTCTAGGTACTTGAAATAAATCAGTGAATAAGACAGATTAAGAATATTGCCTTAGCAGAGGATTCTCATATGGAAAACAGATAACAAACAATATTTTAAAAACAACAACATAAAATAAGCATATTATGTATCAGAAAGCAAAAGTCTGGTAAAAAAATAAAAAATATATCATTTGGGGAATTGGCAGCACCAATGGAGTAGTAGGGAAACTGCAGTATTAAATGGGGTAGTAAGGGTGAGTTGTTGAGAAGCAAATCTAAGCAAAGACTTAAAAGTTGGTGACGATCCAAAGGAGTGAGTATTAGTAAGTGGGATCTAGAGGAAGAATAGTCCAGGCAGAAGGAACAGTTAATAGTAAAGTCCCAAAAGAGTGTAGTTAGAGCAGAGTGAACAACAAAGAGAAAACGAGTAAGAGAGAAATTTATTTATGATGTAATAGGTAGATCAGGTAAGGCACGGTAAGCCAAGATAAGAACTTTCACTGAATAAAATAGGGATTGAGGGTTTTGAGCAGAAAAATGGTATGATCTGACTATAGGCTGCTATGTTAAGAAGAAATCATAAGGGGGCAAAGACAGAAACAGCATGATGAATAAAGAAGCTAACTGAGTGAAAACTGATGATTCAAATAAAGATTAACAAAATCTAGAGTGGTGGGGAATGACTGGATCTGGATTCGTTTTGAAAGTCAAAAAGAATTTCTTGAATAGATATGGAGTGTGAGAAATAAAGAATAAAATTACTGGTCTAAGCAACTATTAGAAGATGTCCATGGACTAAGATATGAAAGACAGGTAGGTAGAGCATTTTAAGATGGGAATGAGATGAGACCTTTTTGAATATGTTAAATTTGAGATGTTCTGAAAACTAAGTGAAAGAACAGTTTTTAAGAAAAGAGAGTAATAATTTACATCAAAGTTAGATGAGGACCTAGATTAGCAATTCGGGTCACTGGTGATCCTGATTTCTTCCAAAGAGTTTTGCTACAAAGAAAAGCAAAAACTGGAGGCCACATTGCTTCAACTGGGAACAAAGATAAGATAAAAGAATGAAACAGATTTCAGCAGGTGTCCACCACAGGACAGAGTAGGAAGTCTGTCTTTGACCAAATTAACTTAACTGTCAGATATAAAAACAAAACAAAACAAAACCACACACTGATATTCTTTAGAAGAACAGATTAAAAAAAAAATACTCTTCAGAAGAACATAACAGAATCCAGAGTCTCGATAATGTATCGATTAAGATGTTTAACAACATATAATCCAAAATTATAAGGCAGATAAAGTAACAGAAATGTGAATCATAGTATGTGAGAATCAGCAGTCAAAATTCTAGAGTAGCTAGACAGTAATTAGACTCAATGTAAAAGAAAATTTGCTCAAAAATATTTTCTTTTAAAAAAAGGAAATCTCAGGAGAAAACAAACCATTTTTAAAAACAGGCATTATAGAAACAAAAAGTATAACATAAAAATTTTTAAAAATTCATTACACAGTCATAATAGCAGACTGGAGATGACAAGAGTCAATGAACTTCAGATCTGTTAACAGAAAACTAACCACTTAAGAAAAAAACACAGAAAAAAGGATGGAAAAAAATAGAGTCTCAGAGATTGGTGGTATAATATCTTAGGATCTAAAGTATGTGTAGCTAGAATCCCAGAGGAGAGAAAAGAGACATGGGCAGAAAAAAAATTGAAAATATAACTGGCCTGATTTCCCCCAAATTAGGTTTAAAAAAAATGAATTCAAAATTCAAAAGGTCCAGCAAATTCCAAACAGGATAAACAGATCACATCTAGTCACATTATACTTAAATGTATGAAAACCAAAGATTAAAAAAAAACCTTATAACCAATGAGAAAATATATAATATTAAAATAATAAAAATATAATATTACATACAGAGAAATAATAATATAAATGAATGTTGACTTCTCAACAAAAGCAATGGAAGCCAGGTCAGGCACTAGTGGCTCAAGCTTGTAATCTCAGTACTTTGGGAGGCCATGGTAGGAGGATCACTTGAGGTCAAGAGTTTGAGAACAGCTTAGGCAACATAGTGAGACTTCATCTGTACAAAAAAATTAGCCGGATGTGATGGCACACGATTGTAGTCCCAGCTACTTGAGGGGCATGAGCAAAGGGATCACCTGAACCTAGGAGGTCAAGGCTGTAGACAGCCGTCATCATGCCACTGCACTTCAACCTGGGCAACAGAGTAAGACTCCAACTCAAAAACAAAACCAAACAAAAAAACATATAATGTGGGATGGCATCTTTAAAGTGCTGAAAAACAGTTAACCCAGAATCCTATATATCCAGTAAAAATATTCTACTGAGATAAAAGTGAAAAAAAGGCATTTTCAGATAAAGGTGTCTAAGATAACGTCTTTTGCAGATCTGCACTAAAATAAATGATAAAATAAGTTCTCCATGCAAAAGATAAATGAGATCAAATGGAAATATGGATCTTCAGGAAGAAATGAAAAGCAACAAAAATAATAAATAGGTACATAAATATAAAAATGGCAAATTTTCCTCTTAATATATTTCAAATACAATAACTGTTTAAAGATCTGATAGCTTAAATTAATGATAAATCAGCCTCAGAAGTGATTTCTCCTTTCTTAGTCCTCCTCTATATTTATAGAAAGGCATAGTACCTGCTTTAGTTTCAAAAAGAAATTTTCAGTAGTACTACGTTTGCTGAAGGGCCAGAATAATCTTTCATTAGGTGAGCAAACGCGAACTTTTGTCTCTAGGAGAAATCGAACAGGCTCCTGTACTTCTGTTATTACCAAATCAACAGCTGTGGTCATAAACAGCACTTTATCTAGAGAAAGAGAAAGATTGAAGAAGCAAATCAAAAAGACAGAAATATGTTTGCTCATATGATTATATAAAAGTGATTACTTTTATTACAAACTTTGAAGACATCTTAAGGTGAGCTATCAATTAAAAAAACATCTAATCAGACAGATCACTACTCTTAAATATTTTTTTTTTCTGTACTGAGAGTTCTTTTTTTGGGTAGACTCCAAGAAGTGGAATTAGTGACAGTAGTACATACTTTAAAGCTTAAGGAAGTGTACTGTCAATCTGTTTTGCAAAAATGGCATATGGCTTCTTTATGCCACCCTCACCATCACGGGAAATTTTCAACTTTTAAACTTGGTTAACAGTAGTAGCTTATACATTTTAACTATTTATATCCTTTATCTATTTATCTAGAGTGCTATTAATAACCAAAAAATAGAAGGAGAAAAACATAAATACACAATAAGAGGCACTCATTAAGCAAGTAACAAAACATTTTCAGGTTGGGATATTATGCAGCTATTAAATGTCATTCAGAAAGAGTATGAAGTATCTTGAAAAAATTTGTTTATGCATAGAATATCCAAAAAGCTACACAAGAAAGTGCAAACAGTAACTCCCTTTGGAGAGGAGCCCTGGAGACTATCGTAGACTTATTTTTCTCTATATATTCTTTGAACTTTTAACCATTTATGTGCATGGATCATCTCTCTACAAAAATAAAACTTAGAAATCTGTAAATAAATAAGTGTATACATAGAAAGATAAAAGAAAGAGGATGAGGAGAAGAAAAAGGAAAAAATAAGCAGACAAAATGATACTTTATATATAGATCAAATTTTATAATAAACTCAAGAATTATTCAAATTCTTTGGTTTCACCAGAATTAGATAAACACTAAATAGTGGTCAAGCAAGTGGCCCTAAGGTTTGGGTATCTTCACAGGACTAAAATTTTTGTTCATGATGTTATCAATTTGCATCACCTTTAGAAGTTTCTTCATTTATGACTTGAAAATGTGGGGATTTTGGATTCCAGCTCCCAGTAATAACATAGGACTTTCCATCTGAACTTTTGCCCATAGATTCCTAGAGAAAAGAGTAAAAACAAACCTCATTGCCAAAGTGAATGAACAATAGCTAACCATCATCTTGTTGAAATTAAAAACTAGGATTTGCAAAAATATATTAATATGAAAGAGGATCAGATTTTCACAAAGGTAGGAGTATATGTGAATGATCAGTTATGATTAAAGATGTGTCAATTTTACACAATTGTCCTGAAGTTACATGTAAATGCTTATAAATTGTATCAAATTATATAAAAATTAGGAAAATTCATGACCTAAATCCTATGTTGAATTCCTCTGTCAAGTAAATAATCACTATATAATTTTTAGTTTTGAAAATATTTTCATATAATAGGAATACTACTAATACCTCCTACTACTGGTAAAGCATATGACAGTCTGTAAGGAAGTCTCTAATAGGCTGAATTCAGTGGATCAGCCTGCAATCCCCACACTTTGGGAGGCTGTGGTGAGTGGACTGCCTGAGCCTATGGGTTCAAGACCAGCCCAGGCAACTTGGCAAGACCTTGTCTCTACAATAAGTCATAAATTAGCCAGGCATGGTAGCACCTGCCTGTAGTTCCGACTACTTGGAAGGCTTCCGGAGCCCAGTGGGTCAATGCTGGGGTAGCAGTAAGCATGCCACTGCATGCCAGCCTGGGCGATGGAGTGAGAATCCAGCTCAAAAAGAAAAAAAAGTCTCTGAAAAATATTCTCTTTGGATTCTCCATCAACTCTACTCAACAGATAAACAGAAATCATTATCATCACCACACCAAGGCTTGTTAAGAAACCAAGGCTTATCCAAGGTTAGACTTGTAAATAGCAAGGTAGGAATAAGGAAATTCCCTTCTCTTTGTATATTGTTTTGGCTAGGATCACACCTGTAATCCTAGCTTTGAGAGGCAGGACAATTGCTTTAGCCCAGGAGTCTAAGACCAGCCTAGGCCACACAGCAAGACCTTATCTCTTAAAAAAATCAAAAATAATTAGCCAGATGTTGTGGCATGCGTGTGTAATCCAAGCTACTTGGGAGGCTGAGAAAGGAGGATGTTTGAGCCCAGTAGTTTGAGACTGCAGTGAGTCATGTTTGTGCCACTACACATGATTGTGGCTGGGAGACAGAATGAGACCCCCAATTCATAAGAAAGTTTTTAAAAAATATTGTTTTATAGCTTACAAGAACACCTGCATAAACACATTTTTTTTTTTTTTTTGAGTTGGAATCTCACTCTGTCGCCCAGACTGGAGTGCAGTGGCCACTCCCGGCCACCGCAGCCTCGATCCGCTGGGCGCCAGTGATCCATCCGCCTCAGCCTTCCAAGTAGCTGGCACTACAGATGCACGCTACCATGCCCGGCTAATTTTTGATTTATTGTAGAGATGAGGGCTCACCAAGTTGCCCAGGCGGGTCTCGAACCCACGGGCTCAGGCAATCCACTCACCTCAGCCTCCCAAGGCGCGGGATTACAGGCTGAGCCACCGAGCCCGGCTCATAAACACATTTTAACAGTATATTTAGATGAGATAAAGTGAAACATTTATTGAAGAAATAGTATAAGACTTTCCAAGAAAAAGAAATCCTTACCAAATCTAACAAGTGCATGTCACTATTTCGTACATCTTTTCCTGGGCTAAGGAGAAGACCAAAACACCTGCAAAAAAAGAACTGACATAAATTTGGACAAAAAGATGAACAAAAGAATGTTTAAATTAGGCTATTTTTGAAAAAAATTCCTACTGATAGAAAAAAGGACACATCAGAATGATCAATAAATTACTGTTGCCAAAATAATAATCCTTCTTTAAGATCAGTAAATTCTCTTTGCTTTTTATTATGACATAGCTGATGTTAGCATATTAGCTACGATATATAGAAGCTATTTCAAAGTAATGAAGCATTGACTTCAACAAACAAAAGAATTTCCTATGGGACAAAATACTTTGCAAATACTTTTTTAAAATACAATTTATGACTACTCCACTAGATAGATAAAAGATAAAATTTATATTTAAGCTAAATTTACTAAAAATGCTTACCTTTCAATGGCAAGTTCTTTATTAGTTGTTTGCTGTACATAGATAACAATCTTCTTATCAATTCCTTGGCGTAGTTTAAAACATTGTCTGTCCTTATCTTTGGGAACTGCACTGTAGACCAACATGTTTCATTAATTTTGCAAAGTATTTTCTTGTCACATACTAGAACAACTTTTTAAGCAAAGACCTCAAATCTCTGATTTTTTCTGTGCCTGGTTTTCAAATAATAACAAAAAAGAAAACAATAATGTGTTCCTCTTGACGCAAAAATGTCATTTGATATTTACAGGTAAACCACTAAAGCATTTATAAAGATAGCAAAGCCACTCCTATGCCTCCTAAAATATGGCATTAGTTTTCTCTTTTGTGAAAAGTACATTAGACATTTGTAAAGGGTCTAGTATGGCATCTGGCATATAGAATTCAAACAAATATTTGTTTCCTTTCCTTTATATTTGGTCACTGGCTTTTACAAATAAATTATCATCCTCTTATTTATTTAAATTATAATGAAGAAAAAGAATTTCAAAACAAGGTAACTTTAAAAAATGATAGAAATGAGGCAGATACAGCCAACTATAAGCGGTTACCTAACACTTCCTTTAGCAGTGATAACTATTATAAACCTGTGTAATAATTACAAAACACTGATAATACAGTTAATAAACACTAGTTTAACAAAAAAGTTGAAAAATATTCTTAAAATGCCAGTCTACAACTTAATCCCCTAGTCTCCCACACACTACTTTCTCTAGCTCCTTGTTCTCAAAGGTAAACATCGATCTATGGCAATCAGCTAACACACTGCAAAACTAAATTGTATCTTATTTCTGTACAACTTTAAGATAATGGCAACAGAACCATTAGTAAATACTAATGGCTAGATTAAAGCTCTTAATATCTACTCAAACTAAAAAGTGACTGTGAAGTAACAGTAATGTAAAGCCCTTCTGCACTTATACAGTAAGTAATTCAAGAACAATTTTATAACAGACTAGAAAATCTAAGAGCCTTATTAGCAAAAGAGTCTTGATATGACAGATCTGTTCAAAGAAAACTTCTGCATACCAAAATGTTAAGTATTAGTGGCTGTCAGAATTTTCACCTATAAAGAGATGGATGGGTCTCAATTTTCAACTGTTAACAGATATACTGGTCTCTATATTCTGTGGATGTGAAGTTTCAGTAAATATAACCACAATGCTTGCAATTTAAAATAACAACAACATTTATAAAGCTGTTTCTGGTGTCCCGAATCTACAAGGCTACATTACAGGAAGCAGAGTGAATAATATAGTCAATAGGTGAGTATAATCTATTGGGTGTTCATCTCACTAAATATCAGAGTCCTAGCTTATATTTCTGGTCCATAACTATATTGTTGAATAGATCCAAGCATGGAATTTAATATGTAGTTCCTAGTGTATGAATTTTTGTTTTCTGGAATGCAGTGGCATTATCATAGCTCACCACAATCTCAATCTCCTGGGCTCAGGTAATCTTCCCACATCAGCCTCCTGAGTAACTGGGACTACGAGGTCATGCCAGCACATCCAGTTAATTTTTTTACTTTTTTTGTAGAGTTGAGGGTCTCACTATGTTTCCTAGGCTGGTCTCAAACTCTTGGACTCAAGCAATCTTCCCATCTCGGCTTTCCAAAGTGTGGAATTACAGGCATGAGCCACTGTGCTCAGCCTTTCTATTGTATAAATAAGAAACGGAGGTCCAGGCTTAATTTCCCTGGGTTTACCTGTAAAATAAACTCAATATCAACTACCCAATTTATCTCATGGGATTGCCTGGATTAAATAAAACAAAAAAGTGCTTTGAATGGTATAAATTAAAAGACTCCATTTTCCTAAGGGCAAAATAGAGAAGCAGGTTTCTAACTACAATAATGTAAAAATTACACTTTTTCAGAAATGAAAAGTGCATTAAGTCTTCTTGCTGTATGTTATATATATATACATATATATACACACACGTATGTACATATGGGGGAACCAAAACCAAAACAGAAATTATTAAAAATTGTATATTTACTTTTACATATTCACACTTCAGTCACCTTCAAAGGACTCTCCATTTGATGCAATAACCTAATAAGACACTTTTTCCACTGCTCAAAACAGTTCCTGAACTCGTCAATTTTGATGCCTTTTAGTGCTTCTGCTGTTTTTTGTTTCACCTCTTTCACATTGGTAAACATTTCCTTTTGAGGATTTTTTCATCCAAGAAATAGTTGCTAGGGGCGAGATCAGGTGAACAGGGAGGGTAAAGTATGAGGGTCATGCTGTTTTTTGGTCAAAAACTGCTGAACACTCAGCATGGTATGGGCAGGTACATTGCCATGGTGGAAGAATCAGTCACCTGTTTGCCACAACTCAGGATGCTTCTTCCCTCACAACAAGGCTAGTTGGTACTCTCATGCCAATAGGTTGCTAGAACACTTAACTAGTGGGGGAAGCCTGTAATACAAGGTCCCAAAAGATAATTTTTTTTAGATAATTCCGGGATTTTGGGGGTACCCCCTCATATGTGAATGTGCGGTTTGTTTTGTTGTGTTGTGTTTTGTTTATTTTGTCAGAGTCTCACTGTCACACAGGCTGGAGTACAGTGGCATGATCACAGCTACTGTAGCCTCAACCTGCTGGGCTCAGTTGATCCTTCCACCTCAGCCTTCCAAGTAGCTGGAACTACAGGCACGTGCCACCATGTCCTGCTAATTTTTTGCTTTTATTGTAGTGAAAAAGTCTTGCCATGTTGCCTCCGCTGGTCTTGAACTCCTAGGTTCAGGCAATTCTCTCACCTCAGCCTCCCAAACTGCTGAGATTACAGGTGTGAGCCACCGCACCTAGCCAAATGTTTATGTTATGGTAAAAACACATCCAGTCCGGTGCTGTGGCTAACTACATTGACAAAGCAATCTATATTTTTCAATGAATTCATAATCTAAAATACTGTTGTGTTAACCTAACTATATTAGCAGCAAGCATAATTAAGTTAACACAACAGTCTTTATCATAAATTACAAACACAGCAAAGCCATGCAGCAAAAAAAAAGAACAAAGCCCTAACAAATGTGGAAGGCAAATCTGACCATCCAGAGATTTTCTGTAATACCATCTTGATGGTATGAGGGTAAATAAGAACAGGGGTGTTTATTGTCCTTTTTCTTTAAATATGACTGATTTCAGCAGAAAGAGAAGTTATACTAAAACTTCTCTTCTGAGAGATCTTAATTTTTCCTATTAATGTTTAGAATTTGCAGTCACTACATAAGCATTTTTAATAAAAAAGAAAAAATATATAGTTTAAAGAAACTGCTTTTTTCCCTAACAAGGAAAAGAAAAATATCGAAGAGTATATAGATTTCTGGCCAGGCATGGTGGTTCACGCCTGTAATCCTAGCACTTTGGGAGGATGAGGTGAGAGGACTGCCTGAGCCCAGGAATTCAAGACCAGCCTGGGCAACATAGTGAGAACTTGTCTCGACAAAAAAAATAAAAATATCAGCCGGGAATGGTAGCATGTGCCTGGAGTCCCAGCTATTTGGGAGGCTGAGGTGGAAGAATCACCTGAGCCCAGGAGGTCAAGGCTGTGGTGAAATGTGATCATGTCACTGCACTCCAGCCTAGGAGACAGAGTGAGACCATGACTCAAAAAAAAGAAAAAAAAGAAAAAAAAAAGCCGGGCTCGGTGGCTCAGCCTGTAATCCTGTGCCTTTGGGAGGCTGAGGTGAGTGGATTGCCTGAGCCTGTGGGTTCGAGATCCGCCTGGGCAGGCGAGACCTCATCTCTACAATAAAATCAAAAAATTAGCCGGGCATGGTAGCGCATGCCTGTAATTCCGGCTACTTGGAAGGCTGAGGCGGAAGGATCGCTGGAGCCCAGCAGGTTGAGACTGCGGTGGCCGGGAGCGGCCACTATACTCCAGTCTGGGCGACAGAGTGAGACTCCAACT